TACAATCATTTGCTATTGATTTCCTACGTTTTCTCTCCTTTATGGTTAATTTGCTAAATTTTACGCTATATTCATTTTTCATTAAACCAAACACTCAAAATTTAAAATCTCCTTCATTTGGAATACTCTGCATTACTTTTTTAGCAAACAAAACGGTCCCTTAATTACAATTATTATTCTTGCATAGTTTGCTGCCATTGACTTCTTTCGGCACATACCATGGTTTCTTTATAAGATTTCGATTTATCTTAGCTCATTAATTCTATAACAAAAGCATCTCTTATAAGATCAGCATATTCATACCTTTGTGGTTCCTTTATAGGACACGAAGGTTTATGACTTGCCAAGTCATTAGTTCTCTACCTTTCATTAATAGTTTTTTATCCATATTTTTAGGAATGTGCTTCAGCTGATTCTTGAGTATTGGCATCATAACTTTATTGGCTTGGTGCTCCACCTCAATCTCTATTTTCAATTTACACCAATTGGATTTGTCTTGTGCTTTATTAATGTATCATTTTCAGTCTTTGCTATTCATTGAACAAAACATCCCTACTAATCATGCATTTAATAAATCCTAGATCCAAATATCATAAATTATACACTTTTAACTCATTTTAGGTAGCCAATAAAAATGCATTTCATTATACTTATCTTAGGCTTGTCTTTATTGATATGAGCATAAGCTCTACATTCAAAGACCCTTAGCAGGAGTAATTTCCACTCCAAGCTTTTTAGGGTGTCAACTAATGGCTGAGGTCCTGAGGATGATCATCTTTTGATCAGATATGATATAGTTCAAACTTTTTAACCCAAAAGCTTTTATGCAACCCTAAATTTTCCAAAAAAAAAAAAACATGCGAGGAATCTACTTGAGCAAAAAACTTTAAAGGGAAGAAGACTATTTATGGATTTTACAAAAACTTTAAAGAATTTCTTGTGTCTTTTTTTTTTTTTAAGAATTTTTTTTTTTTTTTTTTTTCTGCAGTGCATTTTGCCCCTCTTGGATTACCAAGCTAGTCTAGAAGCATGGGGCGGAAAGCTGGAGGCTTGTACATAAATCCAAAAAAATTTGGTGCTGTTGGGAAACCTTGCATGAAGGAGATGGTTGCATTCCTCAGTTGCGTATCTCTTAACAAAAACAATGACGACAATTGTGCCCGACAGAAAGAACTATTAGCTGCTTGTGTGGAATCTCAGGTGCTCAATCTGTTTTACCTCAAAGCTGATTTTTTTTAAAAAAAAATTGAACTTTAGTGATGTCTACTTCTTGTTGCCTTATTATTGCAAATTTTATTATGATTTTGATTGTGAAGTTCTGTTAATACTAAAAACATATAATGAAAATTTCAAAGCATTTTTAACAAAAAAAAAAAAAAAACTTGTACATCTTTCCCCCCAGAATATAGAGTTATAGATATATAGATTTATTATTCTGTACGGAGTTCGGAGGGCTTCTGGAGACCAATAAAAATGCGCCACATCATCCAAAAAATGTACCGAGCACGTAACTGAATGGGAGAACTGTCAGGTGTCCGCACATAATAATAGCTCCAGAATATAATCTTAGATCCTCGATTGAATAGGAACTAAAAAATTAAGCTCTGCAAATTAGACCCTCAATATTCAGCACCTCAAGTAATCACATTGAAATTGTTCTTTCGTGGTATTGCAGAGCGGCAAGCCTAAGAACCCAGCAAGGACCATAAATTATCATTTGCAGAGGCTCGGCAAAAGCAAGTTCTTCTAACCGCTGTCTCTGCATCTCCTCAGTTTTTTTCAATTTACAATCCCATCTATCAGAATCTGGATTTTCTTTCTGACAAGATTACATTTTGAACACCGCACTTTCAGATAATGGAGTTTTCAGCTTTTGGGTTCATCTTTTTTTTTTTTGTTGAGAAGACATTTTCAGATATGAATAAAACAGAACATCCAAGCATTCAAACATTGTAGCTTTGGTTTGTGCTTGCAGCTTAAACTAGGAACATGGTTTCAATTAGATATAGAAAAATGCAGAATTATCCAACTTCACAAATTATTTATCAAATTACATCGATGTGGTGTGATTGATGAGTTTTGTTTTTAATTCAGTGAGTGAGATGAAGTTGCATTTCTTGTTCTAGCCAGCATGCTGTTCTTGGTTTACTGTGCTTGCTCCATTTCGGGTTCAGTTCGCATTGGTGTTCTCTTGTTTTAACCATCACTGTCCTCTCCTGCATATAAGTCAGTTGCTCGAGAATTTATTTTGATTCAGCCTGACATGGTTCACACTTTATATATTTGCTGTATTTCACACACTTAGGTTTTGTTTGGGACGGCTTTCTTACTGCTTCATAGAGTAACTTTTTAGTGCAAAAATTAAAAAATTTATACTAGAAAGCTGCTTTAAGAAGTAGTAAGAAAGCCGCCCCAAACGAATCCTTAATCTTCGTTTGGGACGTTTTTTTTTCTACTTCTTAATAAATTTTTGTACTAAAAATCTGCTTTAAGAAGCAATAAGAAAGCCGTCCCAAATGAAGCCTTAGACTTTGTTTGGGATGGTTTTCTTATTTCTTTTTTAAAACAACTTTTGAGTATAAAAAGTTTAATTTTTGTCCTAGAAAGTTGCTTTAAGCATCAATAAAAAAGCTGTCCCAAATGAAGTCTTCGGCTTCATTTAGGACTTTTTTATCGCTTCTAAATAAGAAAGCTGCATTAAGAAGTACTTAAAAAGCCGTCCCAAAAGAAGCCTTAGTTGTTGTATGGTATCCTATCTTAGGCAGGCAGGATTTATGCAAGATTTAGCCTAAATTCTTCCTATTTGAGTTTTTGGGATTTTAAATTCAATTATTTTGACAAATTTAGTTTTAGCTCATCATTCACAAAATT